GCTCGACGGAGGCAGTGCTAATGCAGGCAAGGTAAGATGAGGAGGGGCAGGACTCTTCGGGTATTTATGCAGGGAGGAGGCGAAACGAACGGGCGACGAAATCGGGGAAGCCCCCCCCCGATCTGGCGTAGTTAACCACGAGCCAATTTCGCCGGCCCACGCGCCCACGTCTCCCTCATTAAATGCGAGAACAGTTACGTCCCATCCACCACGTCACGCTCGACCACTACGGCAGCAGGCGTCGTTTCACCTCCCTAGGAAGCCGCCTCAAAAGGCGCGCCACCCGTGGCCGAGCCAATAGGGAAGATATTCCCCACGGCCTATTCCTTTCATATGAAGGAACCAGGCTCTGAGCCTATTACGGTCCAGGGGTTCGAAGGCTGGGCCCCAAGAGGTTTCGATAGCCGCCCTAGGATAACAGAGTCAGGGACGACCACGGGCGAGCCTATACGGGGCCGAGACCCAAGCAAGCAAAATGCTTGGGACGCCCAAAGTCGTGTCCGAGACCGGCAGGAAGGTCTCTGAATGGGATCCCACCGTAGGGAGGCACCGAGCCACCAAGGCCCAGCGAACGGCCTTGGCACCCACTAGAGAAATCCTCTGGTACTCTTGAAGTGTGTCTCTGGACCACTAGCCGTCCCCTAGCGAACGGGGTTCGGGCCTCCACTCGGACTACCCGAAAACAGCTCACCGGAGGTGCCACCGCTCGTGCCCACCAAGGGTAGCGAGGCACATTGCACCCCTCCTTCTGAGCGAAAAGGAAGCATGAGGGTCGTACAAAAAGTCAGGGGAACCCCTGACGGCCTTCTCGCTCTATGCAGGGGCTAAGGGGCTCTTCCTGCAACCTTGCCGAGACCCAGCGACCCCGGCTCGCACTCAAAGGGGCTCGGCAAAACAAACCCTCCTTCTGAGCAAAAAGGAAGCGTGAGGATCATACAAAAAGACAGGGGAGCTCCCGACGGCCCTCTCGCCCTATGCAGAGGCTAGGGGGCTCTTCCTACAGATCTGCCGAGATCCCACGACCCATTTGGCGCCCAAAATGGGCCTCGGCAAACAAACCCTCATGCGCTGGGGCGATAAAAGCCGGGGAACTCCCGATGGCCCTCTTGCTCCTGCAGAGGCTAGGGGCTCTTCTACGCAACCTTGCCGAGACCAGGTGGCTCCGCTCACACCAGAATGGGCTCGGCAAACAAACCCTCCGTCCGAACGAAAAGGACATGTGAGGGTCGGATGAAAAAGCCAGGGGACCCCTGACCGCCCTCCTGCTCCTAGCGAAGGCTCGGGGGCTCCTCCTGCGCCCAAGACAAAGACAAACGGTCTAAGTCCACGCTAGAAGTTCCGTTACAAATACGATAAAGGGCACCGAGCCCACATGGTCTAGGGGTTCAAGGCTGGGCCTCGGAGAGTTTCGGCATGCCGCCCGCAACAGAGTCGGGGGACGACCTTGGGGCGAGCCTCACGAATGGCCGAGGCTCGAGCGAACGATCGCTCGATCGCTCGGGGCGTCCTAAGTCTTGTCTGAGACCGGCAGGAAAGTCTTCGAATGGGATCCCACCGTAGGGAGGCACCGAGCCACCGAGGCCCAGCGAATGGCCTTGGCACCCACTAGAGAAACCCTCTGGTACTCTTGGAGTGCGTCTCCGGACCGCTAGCCGACCCTTAGCGAACGGGGTTCGGGCCTCCACTCGGACTACCCGATAACAGCTCACCGGAAGTGCCCATGCTCGTGCCCATCAAGGGTAGCCTAGCACATTTCACCCCTCCTTCCAAACGAAAAGGAAGCGTGAGGGTCGTACCCAAAGTCAGGGGGATCCCTGACGGACCTCTCGCTCCGTGCGGAGGCTAGAGGGCTTTTCCTGCAGCCTCGCCGAGACCCCATAACCCGAACTTGCGCTTGTGGGCTCGGCAAATGCGATAAAACTCCTCGCTCAAACGCAAAAAAGCGAAAAAAAGCCCCGGAGGAGTAACTCCACTCCTCCGGGGCCTCGAAACTACACCAGGCCAGTGCGCTCAGCACACCCACCGGAACCTCAAGAAACAAAAAAACCTAATTCCTACGGGAGCGGGAATAAACCAAGCCTCGGTGAACCCTCAGGGAGAGTGCACGCACTCCCCCGGAGGCTCGGGGGCTACTGTCGGGTACCTTAGGATGGGGTACCCCGAGCGAACATCAAAGGGGGCACTTAAGTCCCATCAAAATACAAAGCTAGAAGGTAAGCCGTGGGCCCCCCACCCGCCACGTCCGAGCCCGCCAGGCTCTCCGCCTCATCTCGAGCCTCGCGCAGAAGGTCTCGGCGTCCTGACGCAATCTCCGCCTCGTGCGAGGCTCTTCACGGAAGGCCTCGGCAAGGAGTCCGATCTCCGTCTCGCGCGAGGCTCCGCCCTCCGTCTCACGCAAGGCCTCATTCTCCGTATTACGCGAGGCCAGCTTATCCATAGTCCGTCGCCCCCGCTTCGACCGACCCTCCTGACAGCACGTCATGTCCCATTAATACTTCAACCACTCCCGCAATCTCCGCCGGACGATGGCTTGACACCACAGAATGGCCAACGGGACCTGAGGTCGCATCAACGCCCACACTGCACTGTGCCCATACCGGCTAAGATTACCGACCACTGTGTTCTGACGTTGTGCCCACGATCAGCGCCCACACTGCACTGTGCCCCGCGATCCCCGCCTCGAAAACAACATCGCGCGGACTACTTGGCCCGGGTCATCACCGCCTCCAAGCCAGCGCGCCAGATCAGCCGCCCTCTCGGAGCCTCGGCACTATACACCAAGGTCTCGGCTATCTCGGGGTTTGTGCTCGCCGAGACCCCCACTGCGGTGTAGCCTCGGCACTGACCGAAGCCTCGGCCTCACGCGCCGCCAATCCACAGCGATCCACGTCCTGGCCGCCGCACCTGCTCCGAGGTAGCCCAGAAGCTCCCATGATGCACAGGGTCAGACGTGACCAGCATGTCGCCCCAGTGCTCCAAGGACGGACCACTCCGACGACCACGCCGCCATAGGAACAGCCACAAGGCTCGGACACACCGCCCCTGTTGGCACGACGCCGTATAGTCAGCACATGTATTGTCCTTGTCCTCCCTTCAACTATAAAAGGAGAGGACTTGGGCCCCTTAGGAAGAAAAAAGAGGGAGAAGACCTGGTAGCTCACACACATACACATCCCAGCCGTCCGAGAGCAACGTCTCAAGCAGCCCACACGACACCTCGTCGAGACCTGGGATTAGCTCCCTCTCTCCCTGTGCTTGTAACCCCCTACTACTAGCACTTCGGTGCAAGGAATACAAGATCGATCTCTCAGACTGGACGTAGGGCATCGATTGCCTGAACCAGTATAAACCTTGTGTCTCTTTGCATCACCATCCGGAATTAGGGGCACGCAGTTCAAATTCACTAGTTGGTAGAGGACCCCCGGTCCGAAACACCGACAGCTACCCTTTTCAGTCTTTTGTGCCCTAAAGGATAACAAAGAATGACAGGTTTCGCATCTTACTATATATCCTACTGATTATTTAACAGTGAAGTGAATGAGATTCGTTCTTGTGTCCCATCCAAAACGGAATCATGTCATAATGCATCATTACCGTCTCGCAGCTTCTGATAATCAAGTCAAACTAACATAAATTTGACCAAGTTAGAAGTGATGAAAAACACAGATGTGTTTGGTAGCGATACAAATTCTTATAAAAAAACGTTTTGGATTTATATTCTTTTAGGAATTAACGTTTTGAATGATGAATCGTCATCACTTTATAAGACCGATTGGCTAGTAGTTTGCATTTTGGTTCATATAAGAAGATATATATTTTTTAAATCATATAAATAAAAATATGCTTAATTATTATATGGGTGAAGGACAACTTAAATACAATCTATTTAACTTGTTGCATCAAACAAGGATTATAAGTGAAAAAAATACGATTGCTTAAACGAAAGGCAAAAGTGATTGACCTGCGAAACTTGTCTTTTGCAGATTCAATCGACCAGTGAAAAAATGAGAATAATTTTGGAGTAATTTTGATTGAAACATCTTGGGTTTGGCTCTTTAGCCGTGATTTTTCAATTTTCAGTATGATTCTGATCGAAACGTCTCGGGTTTGGCTCTTTAGCCGTGGTTTTTCAGTTTTCAGAGCGATCCTGATTGAAACGTCTTGGGTTTGGCTCTTTAGCCGTGATTTTTAGGTTTTCAGTAAGAATCGGAGCCGTTTCCTGCTATGCCAAACTGCCCCCTACTGTTCTTTTATTTTCCCCTCCCGTTTAGGGATCCTGACAACTAAGGACGCATTTGGGGTGTGTTTGCTTGGAACCCGGAGCCACGGAGCTCTGGCTAGGCATGCATCTGGAGTTATGGACCTCAGGCGTGGAAAATCTAACGTATGGGCGTGATGCCTAGGCCAGCAGTAAACCAAACACGCCGACCTTGGTTTCTAAGGCAACTTTGCCTTGCCCATCAGCGTGCAAACCAACAAGCTTGCCAGGTTGAACGAGCCGAACTAGCTCTCCTGTTCTAGCAAGTATTTTGCTTGCCAGCACAAGCCTCTAGGCAGCTTAATTCCCAACCAAACGTTGGGCTCTCCTATTGTTCCTCACCAGCTATATGCGAGGTAGAGTGGAGGATCCAAATGTGTCCCCATTTACTTATGCGGTTATGTGTTATATCTGTTCAATGGCAAACAAATCAAGCTGATGACTGAAAATGAACGAAAAAGTGGACTTGTCGATCGAAGCCGGCACGGCCTTTCCTCGGTAGTTTGGTTACTGTAGCGGAGTCTGTACCAACGTTTTTCCTTGGATGACCTTATGCCGCTCACGGAGGATTCTGACTTGCTCTCATTATAATATAATCCATCTACCTTAATTGCAAAGATACGTAGGTCTTTTGCGTATTCGAGAAAAAAATGAACGAGAAAACAAAGAAACAGCTTAGTTGCTCAAGCTTATCGAGAGCGCCGGCGCGTGGTGTGCGTACGCCACGGGCACCGCGTATTACCTGCTCGCCGAGCAGCGACGGAGTCGCCTGCACGTACGCCGACGGCTGCATTTCCACGGTGGCCTTGTGGACAGCGATCTTGGACAGCGGCTGGATCCCTTCCGCCGGGGACGCGCTCGCCGTCCCCGGCAACGTGGCCGCCGCCGCGACCAGCGCCACCAGCAGAGCCACCGCCATCGCCACCGCTCTTCCCATAGCTGCTGCGTTGCTGGGCTGGCGACTGGTGGTCTGATGAAGTGCATACGGCGCCATGGCCTCATCTTCTTATACACGTGGCGCAACAGTCGCCATGCAGCAACAGGATAGCACGTGGTGCACGCGCCTCCATCCTTTATTCGGGGGCATCAACTTTTACTGACGCTGAACCGACGACCGACCGTGACTGGATGTACATCCCGACGCTGCACTGACGCTGATCTTTTTGTAGGCAGGCACGGCACCATTTCTTTCTTTTTCTTTTTTTTTGGTGCGGCATGATGATGTAGCTGCACTAGCCGTCTCTGTCATTTGATGGTGCATAATTCTATACCACTATTTATTGGCCTTGCATGCGGCACGAAATAGGAGAATTTTGGGCCTCCACACATCAAAAATATCAGGAGATTCTCCAAAACAAAAATGAAGATAAATTCAAGCTCCAAAAATACATAATAAATCTGGCCACCAGCTCAGTACATTCTAGTTATTATTTGCAACAGTAGCCATTGCTCACATCAGAGACACGTTTTGTTTAACATCACTATCTGATGAGACACATCAGAGACGCAATATAGGTAACGTGTTTTTCCTGCGTCTCGTTTACCCACGCTCAAATCTGTGGTTTTGATAAAGTGACCAATTTGCATCTTATATGCCCACGTCTATCTATCTATTGTTATTAAGGAAATATGCTACATAATATGCCACTGTAAGAAATAATATAAAGTTGTTCTTACCATAGTAAAGATGATATAAGTCTACATATAAATCACTTACCTATGACATTATAAACCATGGACTTTACATTATATACGACAGAGCTGAAATTAGTTACACACACATTTTTCTAATTAAATCAAACAACTTTTCAAAATAAATGCTTTGTAAAATTTCTGCAAATAAGTTTATAAAAACAAGTTTTTATATAAATTGTTCCTTAAAAAGTATTCGCTACTAGTATTTTGTGCTTATAGCTTTTTTTTTCTAGGCTACAAAAAGGAAAACGAGCCCAGACGCTTGTATCCACCGCGGCCGCGTGCCTCTTATACGCACAGTACATTACAGGTATATGCTGTCGCTTGCTTTAGCTGTCGTCTGATCTGATTGGCAACAATTCGGAGTAGAGCGAGCGTATATATCTAATGATGTCACTTGTTAGTTGTCTCTGTCTGATTGGCAACAATTCGGCCAGGTCGGGGCTACTTGCTAGCTAGCATACGTACGTATACGTCCATATATACGTCCAAACCATATGGTACCACATGAATATATAAGATATGATATGACATGATGAGCATATATCCACGACACGCTAGGTGGTTGGAGGGACACGAAGCTCATACACGACCGCGCGCTGGGAGCATGAGATCTAAATTGGTTCGCTTTCCAACGTGCCAAAAACGTGTGTGGACAGCGACAGGCACTGATGCGTACCGTGAGCGTATCTACGCTAGATCTCGCTTTGAATAAGACCCGTTTGGACGAGGGGTTGTTAAAAGCTGGTTTCACTGTTTGTAGACCTCAGGGCAACTCCAACGGCACCCTAAGCCTATATCAGTCCCCCAAATTCTATTGTTGGGCTTTGTGGAAAAACCAAGAGCAGGCAAAAACAATGCAAGATCCCCAGTTTTAAGCCCATCCAAAACCACCACTTCCTATCCTAGACTCAAATATACGTTGATGTATCGATTCGCCACCACTTCCTATCCTAGACTCAAATATACGCTAATGTATCAATCGCCCTATCCCATTTTCGCGGGAATAAAATGACACTCATGTAAGAAGCCATCTTCGCGCAGATAAAACAACCCTATTAAGTAAGGAGAAGGGTCTCATGAATCATGAGGCCAACATCTGTCGTGTACAAGATCTGATCCTCTCTTAAGGACCCCCACTTCAAGATAAAAAAATCCCACACATCCCTTTCATCTCCCTCGCTCGGCTGACATCCCTTTGCCTCTTTCTCCCAATGCCCTGCGCGCCGCTGCTGCTGCTCCTGCCTACACGGCTCCACCCCCGGTGCCACCATCTCTCCTGCATGCCCCACATAGGTTCTTCCCGGATGCCGGTGGAGCTTGCTGCAGGGCGTGCTATTGATCAAGTGGTGTGAGCAAGAAGTGGAGGTCACGACGACATCAATGCGCAGGTTCATCTCATGCTTGTGATTTTTTATTATTCGGTAAGGTCAGGTCTTAAGTCTAAGATCCGCCCATAAGAATTTTCTTAAAACCTATATTGTAGTGTACAAGGGTGACCCCGAGCTATCCATGTCAACCATACCTTAAGGCTGATGAATTTGACACACTTTGGATGCCCTTTATGGATGATCTCAGTGTAGAGAATTGAAAAACACCTCATGCAAAACGGCTTCTGTTACAAGTTACATGATCCATGTGAAACACGTATAGATGTCTAATACTCACCTACAATTCATTAATCTATGCGGGAGGATCATAGACACAAAGATTGGACCTAAACTCAGTGGACAACTATATAAGCAAGCCTTTGGTCATGACATCCATGAACTGGTGAGAGGAGGGGTTGAGGGGACATATGCGACACTCGAAATTGTCCCAAAGCCACCTTCTCACGAATGAAGTGGATGTTGGTCTCAATATGCTTGGTGCGACGGTGATGGATAGAATTAGAATTAGTAGTCAAGTAAACAACAGTAACATTGTCACAGTAGACAATAGTCGTAAAAGCAATTGAGATGTGGAGATCCTGAAGCACCTGTTGTGACCAGCAACACTTAGCCACGACGAGGGTGCCAGTGTGATACTCAGCCTCGGTGTTGGAATGGGAGGCAGGCGTTTGGAATTTGGATGATCAGTACACCAATTTGTCACCCAAAGTAGACACAGTAACCCAAAGTGGAACACTGGGAGTCAGGCCAGCCTGCCCAGTCGATGTCCGAGTAACTCATGAGAGATTGAAAAGGACTAGTACCTACGTGCAGATAGGCAAAGAGCGTCCCCTTGAGTAGCGCAGGATGAGCTTGATCGGCACAAGGTGAGGCTCACGAGGATCATGCATGAAGAGGCACATCTGTTGCGGCATGTACGCCAAGCCAGGATGAGAGAGCTCCAACCAGACTTTGGTATTGAGTTGGATCGGCCATCAGAGCGCCGTCAGTGGTTGATAGCTTGGCATGAGCATCCATTGGTGTCAAGTTGTAGTGGCATTTGGCCATACTGGCACGCTGAAGCAGGTCAACAATGTACTGGCACCAGAACATAAAACATACTGTTGGAGGAGTGACTTGCAGAGATGCCCTGGAAGTAGTGCAGGGTGCCTAGGTCTGTCATGGCGAACTCGGAATGAAGCCACTCGATGATGTGGCGTAGGATGGGCGAGGAGGTAGGAAAAATTTCAATTTTTTTTGTCTAGAATACCCATTAGAAAAGCTTATTTAAATAAGAAAATTAAACTAAAATAGTTGGAGAGGTAACTACGTTGAGTTCCCATGGCTAAAGTCAAGTGGGGGGGGGGGGCTCGAGCCCCTACCTACGCTAGCACCACCACTATTCGTGCCTAGTAATCACCATTACTAGTGTGTCATGTGAACATACTATGAAAATACATAGTGTGTTATACAGAAGCATCTCACCTCAAAGATCCAAAGAAATTGCCAAGAGCAAATTATTCAGCATGATGAAGCAAATTACTTCAATGCTTTTCAAGATGGATGTATATATGTGCCTTGTTGCTAGAGATAATAATACCATGTTATATCCGTACATCAATTGGGAATAGCCTTCTATCGCTAGGGGATGTGTATTATATGATGAACCACTTGGTAAACCCCAAGAAAACAAAGTTACATAGCAAAGGTAGGGGCCACTTTCCCCATTCATCAGATGGAAACTTGCTTGCACAAAGATTGTCATACGTTGTTATAACATATTGGTATGATCTCTTATCAATAAAAGGGCCTTGTATTTTAAGTTTGATTTTTTAATATTTAGGCTAATTATTTATGTTCTACAAATCTAATAGTCGTTCATTCATTTCTACTTCAGGACAAATTAAACTAATGTCAACATGTGATGTCATATGTACCTCCTTCACTACCTATAAACCAAAGGTTTACCGCCATGGAAGAAGATAACAACAAAAGAAACAAGATATGGTGATGATTCTATCCGAAGAAAACAAATCATAAGAGAAGAGAATGAATCTATGAGAAAAAGCTTCGTTACCAAAAAGAAGCATGACTCAGCAGACAAGCAACTATTTTGCTGGTTTTAATTTGTCATTTTTTGACCAAGATCTGACTTTTAGATGGGCAACGGTCAAATATTTTTATTATAAACTAGCTATAATAGATCAATGTGTCAGGGTCATCCCCCCCCTCCACCCTCCACCCTTGCCCTAGCAGCATAATAAGGTTTTCTCACTTTATATACAATTTAATAATCTATATTTATATCAAGAAATATATGATAAAGATTCTTGTCATATGTATTTACAAGTGTCTTCTAGACATCAAAATCACATAAAATACAATTAGAATAAAATATTTTTGTTCATCTAAACTTGTTTCCTAACATATTAGGGCATAATTAATAAAATTTTAGGTTTTATTAAATAGGTACTTACTTTTCATTATATTTTACAATTTACTTAACGTATAACCAGTAATAACAATTTGGTGGTCACCAATATTTTATCATTATTAATCTTATTAAGCGGAACTGTAATAATATGCTGACTCTCTTTTCTCTGTGAATCGCAATATAGATACGGACACTCACATATATGCACACACTCACCCACGTGAACAAACACACATCCTACTCTACTATTAGCACCTCTAAAATACTAACCCTATAGATTTCGAGATTCATGAGTCACACATGTTCCTCGTTGTTGACTGACATAGTCACCTATCACGGAAAAAGTATCATTGTTAAATCACCAATTGGTATAAAATCGAGAAAGTAGGAGCAATTACATCGATGAGAAACTCGAATGCTCAGGTTCCACAAAAACTTAAACAGAGGAGTTATACTTAGTCTACATATGTCAAATATCTTTGTCCATCCCTCTCTATGTATAATTCCAGGCTCCGTCCCTGCATGCATGCAGGCATGGGGAATTCGTGGTGCTTGTGCTGATGAAGTATGAAATAGATGGATCTATGGATGGAATCATGTATAAATTGTTCAAATGATCATGCTCGCTTTTTGGCACTCCTCAAAACAAGTTCATCAAACCGTAAGGGAATGGATATATAGTAGTGAAAATGACACTATGTTTGCATGTGTCAATAAAGAAACGGTGACAAAAAGCCGAAAAACATGTGAGCTTTATTAGTATTATTAAGGGTTAAAAAATCTGAAAACATGTTAGCTTCATTAATTTTAAGGGCAATGAAAAGAGCGATACACTACCACACAAAAGATTTTTAGACACCGTCAAAATTGATTTTTAGGTCCGGTTTTCAAACCGTTACTACACCATTGATTATAAAGTTTAAGTATTTTTAGGAACGGTTTCAAAACTACCCTTAAACATTGACTTTCAGGGGTGATTTTCTTACGTCAACCACCACCGAATATCGATTTTTAGGGTTGACTTTGTTAAGTAAACTACCCCTAAAATGATTTTTAGTGGGGTAAACTTAGTCAACCACATCTAATTTTTAGAAGTTTTAAAAATTATAAATATAAAAAAACAAGAAAAAATATTTTATTGTGCCCAAGAGCAGCCACAAATATTGTTAGCTATCACAAGACTTTTCTCAAAAACGCACGTGCTTTTACAAATTTTATGTTGAGTATTTTGGCTTCTAAACAATCTTAAATAGAAAAATTTCCAACAACAAATTTTTAGATCTCGTCGATCACTATAAAGGGTGTGTCTCCACCCGAGATTATTTGAAAATTTTGAATTTCAAATTAATGACTTCCTCCATCTATATAGGTATATAGGATAGAATGTGTTGACGGCCACTTAGTTACAAAAATAGGAGTGGTCGTGAAAGATAAATATTACCATGTTGTCAACTTTGAGCCTCAATTCTGAGTCCAAAAACTCATTTTAAAATTGGATGAAGATAAAATGAGGAGGACAAATATATCTCAGATGGACACAAATGTCTTATGAGTGGAGTGATTATGGGAGAAACGCGCAAGGCCCGGCAAAACGTGCGTTTTTCATATGAAAAAACATATGACTTGTGACTTGCACACATGTGTGGCTATCCAGTGGTGACTCATCTCTAAAAATCTGATTCGTGGAGGCGTAAGAGTAGAGGTCGCTGGGAACCAACAGAGGTGCCTCTACGGTTGAAATCTGTAGTAGTCTTGCGGCCCAGCACAGCCCGGCCCATATAGAATGTCTCCCTGCCTGTGGGCTGGGAGCTGTGGCTGCATCGTCTGGGCCATGTTCGGCGACCAACATATGCCCAAACCCACCAGTGCACTGCTAGTGCTAATAAAAAAACACCAGGGCAATGCAATAAGTTGGCGCGAGGCGAGGACAATAATATTTTGCTGTTGACTTTATTTTTTTATGATAACACAACATGCTGTATTGCTGTTGACTTTATTGATGCAGACTTGCAGAGTGGCCGTGTCCATCAGGCAAAAGTCATGCCATCCAATTTCCATGGCAGGAGAAGCGAAAAAGGAGAGGAAAAGGAAGCAGAGGGCAATGATCGCCTATTTTGACTAACGAAATGAAAAGCAGATTATCATGGCCTTGTTTAGATCGTAGGTTTTTTCACTCTCTTTCTATCACATTAAATCTTTGGATACATGTATGGAGTATTAAATGTAGATATAAAAAATAACTAATTACATAGTTTGATTGTAAATTACGAGACGAATCTTTTGAGCCTAGTTAGACCATAATTAGACAATAATTGTCAAATACAAACGAAAATGCTACAGTGTCTAAATACTGATTCCTAATCTAATCTACAACAAGGCTGAATGGCTTAAATACGGTCAGTTGAATTGATGACAGCCCTGTACATGGGCCGGTCTCAACCCGTAAACCAACCCACAACGAAACCGTATCTGAAGGCCAATACGGGTTGGTTTGAGGCGGGTTGTGACCATCTAACCCGTTCAGGTCGTTGCGTTTATCGTGGAGCTCGCCGCACATGGTGGCGAGGGTGTGGACTGTGGAGGCCTGGCCCGATCATCACCTTCTTCCCCACGGTGGTGAGGCCCTGCCGAGCAAGGACGCGTCGTCCGCACCAGCAGCAGCCGTCCCCTGCGCTGCCGCCACCGCCGCGGGCGGCGCCAGCGCGGTCTCGGAGACGAAGATCGAGCTTCTTCTCTACCTCCTTCGCCATGGCTGCGGGCAACGGCGCGGAAGCTGCTGGGGCCGGCTCGGACGCCGGCGTGGAGGCGCTCTGCGGCGCCGGCTGGCGTGGAGGCGCCGGAGTGGAAGACGGAGTAGCCCACGAGTCGGTGACGTCGTCGAGGATGGTAGCGGTGCCCTGATAGTGACCGGAACGGACGGAGGCGCAGGCGAGAAGGAGACCCGGAGGACGCTGGCGCAGGTACCCTGTACGCGTCTGCCTCCTCTGCTGCACTCGTCGGCGTGACCAAAACCGACGAAACCCGTATAACCCGTGGGTACCAAACCGTATAAGGCATTGTAGGTATCCACCTTAATTCATATGTGTTGGAGTGGAGTGGAATAAAATTTAGTTTAATTTTATTTTAATCTATTTTATCATATGCGGATTGAGATAAATACATGCGCATCTAAACAAGACCTAAAGAGAAAAGCTACGGGCTGAGATGGTTTTTGCCTAGAAACCGTGTTAACCAAACCATGTACAGCCTAAGATGACATGCAACTATACAAGGAAATATGAGGCATTGAGGCTATATATCTCTTCACAACTAAAAAGATTAAAGAGTGGACACCGTTTTAGTGCGACATTTCAATGGGGTTCATCGTCCTGCCTGCAGCGATTCCGTGCCCCTCGCTCTGCGCCCGTCCCTTCGACAAAATTCACTCTCCGCGGGCAGAAAATTAATCACGCAGGAAAAAATCCCACCCGTGCATCGAAGGCGAGCGCCAAATCAAGGCAAATGAAGAAGGAAACAAAAATCGCGTGTTAGAATAGATGGAAGTTGGAGGTAATCACCGTGAGAATAAAGGAAACACCGGCGCCCCACACAATCACCGGCAATTCTCTTTTCTCCCTCGATCGCTCGCTTGCCCAGCTTCCCTAGCTTGCATGAGGGAGCATGAAGTGGACCCCACGACGGCGACTATCCCGACGAATGAAGGAAACAAAAATCGCGTGCGATTATGTGGTTGCGATCCCATCTGTCTGAGCGGGGAGAGGTGGAGACCAAAGTGATGCCGCGGACGGCGTCCAAGGACATCATCACATTGCGGGGCTCCGTCGCCATCATCATCGAGTTAGGAGCGTCGTAGGCAAAACGCGCTAGTAGCTGCAGCGACATCGCAAGGGCCAGGGAGCAGCGACGACATCGCGTGGGCTGAGCGGCGGCAGCAGCGCGCATGCTGAGGAGCGGTCAGCCGTGTAGGCCATGCGCAAGCACCAAGGTTCATCCTAATCTCTGGTTCTTTTCTTGCGTGCCCTATCCTTTCTTCTTGAATCACATTATATTCTGTTGCGATTCAGTCTCAGTTCTCAATCGGTCACTGTCGTGGTGAATCACTGCTCAAACAAAGGAGATATTATCAGGGAAACCACCGCTATTGATTTAATAGTATGATTGAGGTCTGCTGGTGGGAAGTCGTGAAATCAATCTTTTATTGAAAATGGGATTCATATGATCATATCTGAGATCCCAAACGTATTGTCTTCCTGTAGCTTCGAGTACGTGGAATTTCTTGCCGTTGTGTAGTTTTTTCTTGCATACATGAGCTCCATAAAATTTGTATACTACTGCTTGTAGATCTTTTGTCTCTGAAACTAAATGTTGCAGAATGGCTGGAGGCCGGGAAGATGCAGTGGGTTAAGCTAGTGATCATGACCAAGGCCACCACCCACCAACGAGGTGCTAGAGCACTGGACTTCAACATCATCACAGACGCCGAGGTCGTCAAGAAGGGGTGGGCCACCCTTACTCTTATCCCCGCTTCTTCACTCTCTTCCTAGGACCCTAACCAATCTTCCTAGGACCCTAACCAATCGGTAAGTAGCCAGTGCCGCATGTGTCATGGCTTGATTGCATCTTCTTCTTATGTTTGTCAGGGCTATCAAGGAGAAGGGCGACAAGGAGATCATGAGGGAGATTCAGGCCATCATGCCCTTGCATCTTGCATTCACCCCTGCCCCGATGAGCCATGTAAGGACACATCAACCGGCATCCAATCGCCTAATTAATTTCCTCTCGTCTTTTGCCTTCCTTATGAAACTGTGATAGAAGACAAATTAATTTGTAGTTAATGCATGCTGTGGATTTTTTTTCTCGAACACCATACTGTGAATTCTGAAATTTGTTCTACAGATAGAGCAATCCACAGTATGCAGTTGTGCGCAAGAACCAAAAGTCAATTATGAATTTTGTTTTCTACAGATTTGTTTTTCAAGTCTGTTGCTTGGTGGTGTTGTTCCCTTCCCCTTCCTGTAAAGGTCGATTATCTTTTTAATGCAGGGATAATTGTTATATTAACACCCCATCCTATTATAAGTTTTGTTATATTAACAGTCCATCCTACTGATGGCTATGTTCTCCAACTCTTTGCAGAAAGAAAATATGATCTAGAGTTCAAGTAAACAAATAAATCAGGTGAGAACTTCAGAAGTGCAGATGATATGGTTGAGATCTATAGATAGCTTTCTTCAGTATATATATCACTGAATTATGGGTTGGCATCATCTTTTAAATTCATGGAGATTAAACTTAAGTTCGTTGATTTCTTCCCTCAATTTCCTGCGCACTAGAGTACCTGCTTGTCTCAACTGAGTGGTCCTTCACAAAGATGACTGGGTGCACTAAAAAATATTTAAGAACTCAGAGTTTGCCCATTCGCTCACATACATCGGCAAAATTGATATAATTACATGAAACCATTCTTCACATGTTGCTTCAAATTTATTTACCAGGTTTGCTTCAAAACTGATTTATGATTTTTTTTTCGTGACCGTACCATTGCATGTTTTTCATTAAGAGGGAGTTTAGATAACATTTTTTCAGAGCCCCACTCCTGAACTTTATTGACTGCTATGTGGGGCTACAAAACACTTAGATTTCTAGACTTCATGTATCTGCAAATGTTGTTGGGGTGAACAAACATCGGAAGGCATGAACAAATAGTAGCACTGGAAATTTGGATTTTGTAAGCAAATGAATATGAATTTTTTTTGCGAGGAAAATGAATATGAATGTAAGCAAAACATTGCTTCTCAGCCTATTTAACAATTCATGTTTTATTTTGATTTTGATTGATACTCATGGAAACCTACGTTATAACATTCATGTCTTTTTTAAGTTCCTGTTTTCCTAATTCAAAGAATACAATGAAAGATTTTCATCGTTGTAAGTTTTTGCTATGCTATTATATTGCTGCATGCTACGAAGGATCTTTTAAAATGGTTTTTAGAGTTGTGTTGTCATAATCTGTGTTTGTTTGAGATTTTTTTATTTTTAACACTTTTTCAAACTATTCTTAATTCTAACACTATTTTTTCTTCAAAAGTAACACTTTTGGCCGCGTCTATTTCCAGGGCGCGGCGAAACAACTCTGCCGCGCCATGCATTGCGGTGCGACAGGGGTGCGTACGTGGCAATGTCCCGCCCGCTGGTCGCTGACGTGGCAGGCCTTGCCGCGCCACCGATCAGTGCGCGGCTGTGACGCGTCATCGATCAGGGCACGGCTGTGACGCGACACCCGTCAGGGCGCGGCAGAGACAAATAGAGGCCCGCGGCCTAGTCCCTTTCCTCCCTCTCTGTTTCACTTTGCGCCGCACAGCGGCCGCCTCCGTGCCGCCCAGCCCCCGCCGTCGCGTCTCCCAGCCCGCACCGCAGCGCCATTGCCTCCCGACTCCCTCACGGCCGGCCGCCGAATTTTTCTCCCTTGCCGGCCCCTCCCTACCTTCCCCGAAGCTCCTCCTCGGCCTTGTCAAGGTAATGAAGCTCCTCCTCAGCCTCCACGGTGGATTGAAGGATTGGAATGAGTAGTTAGGGTATGGAGAAAAATATGAGTTCGTTAAAACGTTGGATTGAAGGATTAGGATTAGGATTGCCAATGTTAAGGTTAATTAGTTAGTTAGAATTATGATTTCCATGTATTCTAAGGTCAATTTTTATATGAATTTTGTTTGTTTGAGTTTGCATCTCAACTTTTATATGTGAATAAATATATGGACACACTGTACCAAGTTTTATTTTTTACTGACCAAAGTGTAGTTTTTATATAGTTTTCATGTTTGCATCTAAGATAGAGTTTGCACCAAAGTGTAGGTTATATTTTATTTGTTATAATGCAAATGGTTCTCATTGACATTAATTTATGATGTTTTGATTTTGTTTGTTAAATTACAACCATTTTGTTAGATGCAAGAGATATATCGGGAGATGTTTTGGCGAAAACAGGGTCGTTCTCGAGAATTATACCCCGGCAGCGGTGGCAGTAAGGGAGGCAACGAGACAAGGGGAGATGGAGATAGAGTCAGGGAGGACTGGCACACGGCGGCGCAGCGTGGGCGTGGCGGCAGGCGGCAAGGAGGCGCCGGGCGGGCGGCGGTGGCGGCGGCGCGGCGTGGCAAGCGGGCGCGTGGTGGGTGGCCTGCGTGGCGGTAGGCGGGCGTGTGGCGGACGGACGGACGTGGCGGCTCGGTATGCTCCTCTCTCCAACCGGTTCAAACGGGCCGAGTGAGATAGAGAGAAAGGGAAGCGAGGCCGAATACAAGGGGTTGCCGTGCCGTGATGCGTGACGCGACAGCCCCACGCCGTGATGCGTGGCGTGGCAGGCCCACCGCGTCGTGACGGGTGACGCGTCAGACTTGCCACATCAGCGGTCGCTGCAGCCGTTGACTGCTCCCTGTCGCGCCTCCATGCATGGCGCGACAGCGTGAATTAGCCGCGTCGTGCAAACAGGCGCGTCCAAAAGTGTTAGTTTTGAAAAAAAAAAAAACAGTGCCAGTTTTAGAAATAGTTTAAAAAATGTGTTAAAAAAATTCTTTGTTTAAATGGAACACTCAACTATTTTATTTGAAGTGAAACATTCAAATTTTATTTCAATTAGAGCTGCAGTAGTAAAGTGTCGGGTTGTATCCCACAGACCTTGACTTTGGCCGTCGTTGGGCTATTGGTCAAATATTATTTTGTCCCGTCGTTGGCCCCGCCCCGCCTGTGTACAGCGAGGTCGACGGCATGAGCACTTTACGATCAGTATAACATATTTTGTTTTAAAGTTTTGTGAGAGATTTTTTAGGTTTCGAGAGAGATTTTTCAAGATACATAGTATTACCTATGTGAAAGACACTAATGTTTATATATATACTCGAACTTGTGTACATGATGGTATGGAGATGTGACGAAACTTATCGTGGATTTATTAGCGCTCGAAAAAATGGATATCGGAGATTTCTTTCTACCAATATAAATACGGTAAAGTTTGTGAGCCAGTGACGCCGCGCTCTCCGTGACTGTTAATTTCATGAACTTTGCTTTTTGAATTAAATGTCACTTTAACGTTGGTATTTAATTTCACAGGATTGTTATCTTATCGTACGATCCATATGTTTTTTAGTATATAATTTCACTATCCCGTAGTAACGCAAGAGTATGAACTAGTATTTATCAAATTTACTACATATAACTGTATAATAAACATAGTTGATTCGTATAATCCCCTAGCTGCATAACTGCATGGAGTATTTTGCTAGTTAAGAAGACAAAAAGCAGAGTTAGATTATTCGTCCCATTCATGTTATTAATTAAAGCTAAGACCTAGCATCTAACTAATACTCAACAAATTGGGTGGCGAGTACATATAATTAAACAAACAACGAGCGACGGTGGCAGTGGTAGGCCTAATTAAAGGTAGCTACTTCTCCCTAACTAATCGAGATGGAGCGCTTGGCCGGAAGCAGCGTGACGGCAGAACACGCTGCTGCTGGTCACTGGTGCGTCAGCTGCGGCGGCCGGCGAGCAACTTCTAGACCAGAACACGCGCTGCCCTCTGCAGCGTGCTGCTGGCTGCTGCCCTGTGCAGCCTGCACTGTGGCCGTTTCGTTTCGTGCACGGCCGGCCGGACGGCGCGACAGCGATGCAAAGCGCCGCCACCCCCACCGCTCCCAGGACCCAGGTCGCAGCTCGCAGGTGCCGGCCATGCACTTCCGAACGGTTCGCCGACGTGGCCACTCCGAACGGACGACCGGTAGGTAAAGGATGGACCAGTGGATGGGCGCGCGCGGGCGCGAACGCTCCGTCGCTCTCGCTCCGGCGGCTCGGCGTCCGCGGGCCGCGGCCGGCCCCTGCACGCCCCCAACGGCCGGGGGACGGCGGCTTCGCTGGCCTTAGGCCGCGGCGCTGGCCAGATGCCCGGCCCCCATCAACGTTCCTGTCTCCCTCCTTGTCAAAAAAAAATAAAACAATGTTCCTGTCTCCCCGATTTCTGCACCCACGCCCCCGGAGACGTCATGTCATCTCGTCTCCGCCATAAAATCTGGATGGATGGCAACTGCCAACTGGGTTTTCTTTCCCGTATCAACGATTATAATTTATTCGTCCCACTGGACACTTACGTGGCAACAGTGACACCTAAAAAAGATATTATAGAGTTCATATATTTTTTCTTTCTTTTTTAATTCTGTTTAAGCTTTTTCCTCTGGTCCTGGTAGTAGTTTGTTTGGAAAAGCTGGTAAACGGATCAGCAACCTGTTTGGTTGATTGGAAGCCACAGCCAAACGATCGGGCTGCAGGCCAGGCCGACCAGCTGCGCAAATTCGCCTGCGCATCCTGGTCCCCCGTCGCCCGCACGGTCGCTCGCACGCACGCACCTACCATTCCCGGCTCCCCGGCACGGCCGCGCCCGAGAGCGACGCCCCCCACCCACACCGCCGCCGCCTCGATTCATCTGGCAATCGAGGGACTCCGGACTCCCGGATACAGATACACCCGCCACGCCACGCCAAATCGAACTGCACCTATCATCATAATCATATTCGTCCATCTCCCACCAGTCCCAGGCCGCCCGCCTCTCCGCTTCCCCCGTCGCCAACCTCCAACCCCCCGCCGATCGCGTCGGAGATGCTGGGCGTCGCGAGGAGGCGGCTCGGATCCGGATGCGTCAGTGCTTGTCCCACCACCGCTTCCCCCTCCCCCACCCTCGCCTCCCTCTCACCGTGATCCGTTTCCTTCCCGCAGGTGCTCGCCCAGCTGGCGCAGGCCCTCCGCCCCACGGCCGCCGCTCCCGCCAGGACCTACTCCGCCGCCGCCAAGGAGGTGAGCGCCACGCCACTCTCTCCTCGCGATCCCCGCGCGTCACGTCGCGTCGCGTCGCTGCGCGTGTGCCGTGCCGCCGAATCTACCGCGTTTTCCCCAAGCTTGGGAGGGGAATGGGAATCGTTTCGTTGCTGGCTCCCGGACTTCCCTGCCACCGCCAACGTTTGTTTGTTCGTTCGTTTGCGTTCCGGTAGATTGGTTCCTCGCTGTGCTCCGTGTCGCGCCTCGCCGGCCGATTGTGTTGTCATATGCTTACTTTTCCTGCGACTGCGAAATCCTCTCCTCACGACTAGATTTTCGAAACTTTTTTTCTCCGCTTTTGTGAGATGTAAATGGTGGTGGATACTGCGTGATGGCGACTGTTGTTTGTTGTTGACCTTGATCAGAAACAGATGGATGGCAGTAGCTGTACAGGGAAAGGGGTAGGTGGGGGGAATCTAATAAGTGGTTGGGTCATGGAGCAGTTGTGTATCAGATCGATGATGATTAATTTGCTTGCTTTGGAAAAGCAAACTGCATTTGTGTAGATTATGGATTGTTCACCAGTGATACTGTTTACATTTGTGAAGAGGAAGAGCACCTGGCATTAGGCGGGAACATGGCACCGTACTCTACCTATGCTGGGAGAGTGAACAGTGTACTGACTAGATGCCAGGTGCTCAGGTGGTAGATGCTTACCTGAAAAAAAGTTAACCAACTTTGAATAACTGAACTAACAGTGGCGTAATGAGCTGTTTTTGGTGATTCAATGGTTTTCTGTAGATAGCGAGAACCTAAGTATCCAGTGTGATCTCTCATTCTCTGAACTATACCTTGAGGTCTCAGGGACAGTTGGTACAGTTATACGTCCTGTTAGGTTATTAATTCAAGAAAGTGGCTGGGTTCTCTACAGATGTACATCTATGTTATGACCTTGACATTTGGCGTGAAATTTTACACAGCCACTTTGCTTATTTAGATAACTGTAAGGGAAGCATTGAATACCGCATTAGATGAAGAAATGTCGGCAGACCCTTCTGTTTTCTTGATGGGAGAAGAGGTACCACCAGTACCTGTACTTGTTTATTTTCTGTGTTCCATTCTTGCTTCTTTTGGTTTAATAATTGTTGTGTCTGTGGTAGGTTGGTGAGTACCAAGGTGCATACAAGGTCAGTAATATTTCCAAAGATTTATGCTTCTTTTTTTCTCTCACTGTGGCAACTGAAAAGTAATATATGAATGTTACTGGTATTGAGCTTCTCTTCATTGTGGCAGATATCTAAGGGTTTGCTTGACAAGTATGGCCCTGATAGGGTTCTTGATACTCCAATTACTGAGGTTATAAACCCGCAAATTGATCACCATTGTCCACTCATAAGCTGTCAGGTTGACCCGATCACATTCTCATACTGATCTTATTTGTTTTGGTTCAGGCTGGCTTCACTGGCATTGGTGTTGGTGCCGCCTACCATGGTCTTCGACCTATTGTAGAGTTCATGACATTTAACTTTTCGATGCAGGTCAGTTGTTTAATGAATTCTGCAAATCACCATACTATTTCAATTATTAACTATTTGCTTGCTTTGATTTGTTCTTCACTCCTTGGCATATCTGTTGGTTTCTGTACTCATTTTCTCTACATGCTTTGCAATCCCAGAAAATTCCGATTTGTTGCAGCATCCTATTGCATATCTGTTTTTGCTCTTCTCTGTTTGCTTTATATTTCTTAGAAGAAGCATTTATTACATAAATTAGAATGGCTCCTAATGGTTGACGATTGTAATGCATTTTGTTAAGTAGCACCTCATTGGAGAAAGATGTATATACATAACCAGCATGTTAACATGTTCGTAGACATTCTTCTCTTGAGAAAAAGTGACATGAACTCCCTCACTCCAGTTTATTTTCACATGGTAGAATATCTGGGAAGAAGGGCGGGCCTGGTGCAAGCGGTAGAGTCTTACCGCCTGTGACCGGAAGGTCCCGGGTTCGAGTCGCGGTCTCCTCGCATTGCACAGGCGAGGGTAAGGCTTGCCACTAACACCATTCCCCAGACCCCGCACAGAGCGGGAGCTCTCTGTACTGGGTACGCCCTTTAGAATATCTGGGAAAATCTGTCAGATCCATTAAACACTATGATCCATTCTAATTTGATTACTGAATCAGAGGGGTTATAATCTGATATGGTGTCGCTGATGAACGTTTGGTGATTACAATTCCTTGCACAGCAATTTGTCTTTACAATTTTCTGCAACAATAATGTTTGTTATTCTGGTACCGCTCTCCATCTTTGAGAATATGAATACTGGAGACTCCATATGCTGAAAAACAAATCTGTTAATTACACACTGTTGTATATTCAGGCAATTGATCACATAATTAATTCAGCTGCCAAGTCGAACTACATGTCAGCTGGCCAGATATCTGTGCCTATTGTCTTCAGGGGTCCAAATGGTGCTGCTGCTGGAGTTGGTGCCCAACACTCGCAGGTTATTGTCACAAACTTACCTCTATATTGTTGTTCTGTTGCTGTTCTTATTCTTTAGAAGACAAATAGTTATGCCATATGATTTAATGTTCTGAAAGTCTTGTGCTGGGACATACATTGACAGAGGATAGATTAATTGTAGGACTAAATAGTTCATTCCAAGAGTTATTTATCTCCATACTGTAATATTTAGTAGAACTGTTCTTAAAATGGAAATAAAATGTAAATGTGTTTACTGAGAAAGAGGTGTAAGCTTTAGGTCACATTAAAATCATGCAGTGCATATCATCTCATGGACATTATAGTCCTGTAAATATTTACAGATAGGTATGCTGCTGTACTTTGATGGAATTACTTACTGTCTTAGTATGCAGTGCTATGCAGCTTGGTATGCACATGTTCCCGGATTGAAAGTTCTAGCTCCATATTCTGCAGAAGATGCTCGAGGTCTGCTAAAAGCAGCAATCAGGGATCCAGATCCTGTTGTGTTCCTTGAAAATGAACTTCTGTATGCTATTTCTTTCTCTGTTCAACTATACTCTCTATGTTGTTTGTTTGAGTTGACGTCTCATTATATAATGCTTTTTTCTGCAGTTATGGTGAATCCTTTCCTGTTTCTGACGAGGTACTTGATTCTAGCTTCTGCCTTCCGATTGGAAAGGCTAAGGTATGTTCTTATATTTATTAGTGGAAGTGAAGAGTTCAATCTGATCCGGCTTCCCTTGATGGATTTTCTGCAAATCTTATTTTTTTTTTGTTTTTATGAATGTAGATAGAGCGTCAAGGGAAAGATGTCACTATCACTGCATTCTCCAAGATGGTCGGATATGCTCTTCAGGTGTGTGAATGTAGATTTCTTGAGTAGATGGAAGAATTGTTTGCTTAATGCTTATACATGTGTTGACTTACATTCTTGTTCATGTATTTCATAGTCATCGGAATTCAACATGCTATTGGCTAATAATGTGATTCTGAATTGTATTTGTTATTCTGTTTATGAAGGATGATTTTGCACACAAATATTTCCAACTAGATCAATGTATACTATATAATGCATGTTTTGGATTCTTTACCTAATCTTGCTTAGCTACATGGGATGATAACTGTTTAGTTGCCTTGCTTTTGGGAATGGTGAGCAATGATTTCCATTCCCTTGCTTCTGAGATAGCCTTTCCCCGATTAGTATGGTTTTCCTTGCCCAAGTGCCCAACCTCGTCTATCATGGACAAAGTTGAGCAAAGAAATCAACATGCACATGATGCCACCTTGAATGTACGGATTGGCTCTGCCTGAATATCTGTAACTTGAGCCATTCCCTTTTTAAAATTATAGCTTTATTCTATTGCAATTTTCACAAAAAAACAAGAATAAGATCCATTTAACGAAGTTCTCTAGTTGGTGGTTCTGGTTGCATTTCTCATGTTCTGTCATTTTTCAGGCCGCCGATATACTGGCCAAGGAAGGTATCAGTGCCGAGGTAATTTGTTTTTTGCATTTCTTCTACACTACAGTCTTGTGCTATCAGATCTCTTTTCCCGTGGAGTCCATTGTTGTCTTATTCTTTAGTAATTCTCTGTTCAGGTAATCAATCTTCGCTCGATCAGACCGCTGGATAGAGCTGCTATTAATGCATCTGTGAGGAAAACCAATAGATTGGTAACCGTAGAAGAAGGCTTCCCTCAACATGGGATTGGTGCTGAAATATGGTCAGTCTCTCCCTCCCTCCCTCCTTCCCAATGTATGGTCTACATCTCTCGTAATGGGTTGAAATGTGTCTTTGCAGCATGTCTGTTGTAGAGGACAGCTTTGAGTATCTTGATGCACCAGTTGAGAGGATTGCTGGAGCTGATGTCCCCATGCCGTACGCTGCCAACCTTGAGAGGATGGCTGTTCCACAGGTCCATACTGATCCTTTCGCTTTCATTTCTAGTTTGCATACAGATCTGTGGTTACACAACTCTTGTTATTCGACAAAGCTAATGGCATAGCAGTTTCACTAGTAGCACCTTAAACAATACTACTGCTGTGCTGAAATTTCAGTCTTATTGCATACATGAATTTATTTTGACCTGCATTCTGTACAATTAATGTTTGATTTGCAATCCTCAAAATGGTAGGGTACAAAAGCTAATTTAGGTGATGAAACAATAGCTGTTTTGCTAATAGCTGAAAAAACAGACAAGGGCCTGTTCATTTGGCTGGTCTTTGGTCTTTGGTCTTTGGTCTTGGTGCTTTGGTCTTGGTCTTTGGTTTAATGGCTGGTGGTGGTTTGGTTTTTGTGAGAGAAAAACACTGTTTACTTACTTTGGTTGGTTTAAATTTGTTGAAAACCAACAAGCGAATGTATTTGAAGGTCTTAGCCCTTAGGTGGGTCAATCATATGAGAGTTCAGTCATGGTTGCATGTGTGGTGCGTGAGAGTTGTAGCAGACAGTTAAAAATACGTATAGTACTCCCTCCGTTTTTTTTAAATATATGACGTTTAGGAACAAGCTAACTAGTTGAATAATGAACTAATTAGCTTGTTTTGAACATCATTTATTTAAAGACAGGGAGTAGTAGGCTACTGTCTACACTGTCTGATAGGTGCACTGCATCTCTCCACCATGATGCCAAAGGGAGATGCAAATATTTCTATCTAGGGCCTTGTTTAGATGATATCAAAGTTCTAAGTTTTTTCACTTTCTTCTTCATCACATCAATTTTTGACACATGTATGGAAGCATTAAATATAGGTAAAAAAAGTAACTAATTGCACAGTTTGGTTGTAAATCACGAGACGAATCTTTTGAGCCTAGTTAGCCTATGATCGGACAAAGTTTGTTAAATACAAACGAAACGTGCTACAGTGTCCAGATTGTAAAAAATTGCAATCTAAACAAGGCCTAGTAAAGAATTTTGGAGCCTTGGCTGGGAAAAGGTGAACGTGGTAGCTGTGGTAGTCTGTGGCATTGAAAGTAGGCTCACGTGATTGATTATTTGTAGGTGTCCTACTTTCCTCTTTTGACTCTTTGCTACTGCCACACTTGCAGGTCGATGACATCGTCCGGGCAGCCAAGCGTGCTTGCTACAGAGCAGCTGTACCGATGGCAGAACCCTGCCTTCTCCATTTCTGTGTCTAATGTCCAAAGTCCAGAAAGATATGTCCCCCATAATGGTATGACGAGTACCCACTGCCGCTGCAACTCAACTAGCATGAGCTGATTTTGTAGAGCCACCAAGTGGTGTCCAGTACTCCAGTTCCGTTGCCTTCGCCGCCGCAGCCGGATGGCTGCGCATGACTCTGCTTTTGTTTATGGTTCACGAATGATTGCAGCCTCTGGAGATAAGATTTTACATGAGCGAGGTGGTGTCAATAACATGTAGTATTCGGAAGGGGAACTCTCAGAGGTCCTCAAATAGTGATTATAGTTGCACCCTTCTTGATAACGTCTTTTCCATGCTAGTGCTAGAAACTCCTTTGTCTATCCATGGTCCAGCCAGCCAGCCAAACTCTGGGAGATGTTATCCAAGACTGGAAACAAGCATGGCAAATAGTGCGGTGTCCGAGTGACGCGTCGCGTCCAGGCGACATGTATGGTCAGACGGAAGATCTATGTACGATGCGCACAGGTGTGGGTGTGGTGTGGTATACAGTACTCCTATCCCAGACCCAGAGAGTGAGAGAACAAGGGCAACAGATGGAGACGTCGGGGAGCAATACATGTGCGGTGCAAGTTGCAGGCTGTGGGGCTGGTCTGGTCTGGTCGATCTCCCCCATGACCCATGGATGGACCAATTCCTCGCCTTGGAAAGATACACCAACTTGGTCACGGCTCACGCGCGGAGTACGCGACACGCGAGAGAGGTGCGCTTGCCTTTAACCAACGCCGGACGGGCGGATGGCGTTGTGGATCAGGCGGCAGCCCCTGCCCCCTGGGCACTTGTCACCCGTTCCTCTCCAATGTCTGCACGCCGCTAGTTTTTGGTCTCCGATGTCTGCACGCCTCTAGTTTTTGGTCCATCCTTTTCGCTTTTGGCCGCTACTTGCAATAGTGGTCGGTCCTACGCCACCGGTCAAATCAAACAAACCGTCAGGAAGGGACATGCCGCTCTGGTGGTGCAGAAACAGAGACGATCCCCGAATCAGATACCATTTTCTTTTAAAAAAATAAAAGCAGAGGTAGTACTGGGTTATTTAAAACATACTATTGTGCCAACGTATATAGGTTGCAACGAAATTCAATACGTCTTAGAAAGCCTATGTCAATGCTCGATGAAAGTTATTCTAACTCGTATAAGCATGTACTTACGAGACTTAGTCAGAATGAGATTAATAAAGTCACCGCATATGTTATCTATGATCATTTCTAAAAGACTGAGTCGTAGTTATCGACAAGCATGTCGTCTGCCAATCCAAAAACAGTGTTGTGAAATCCTGAAATAAATGCTACAACAAAACGAGAAGAATGCTAGTACTCACGTCGGGTTGTAGACACATCCACACAGGTGGTTGAGTTCCGCCCTATCAAGAGTGCAGTTCTAAAGTTAAGTTTATAGAGAATCAGCCTGTTCGGTTGGTTGGTTCGTTTTGTTGCTGGTTCGTGAAGAAGTACTATTGGTTGGTTTATGCGAGAGAAAAATACTGTTCTGACTGAAAATTTACGATCGTTTACGACAAGTCACAGCCAAACGAACAGGCTGAATAGCATTAAGATTTATATATATATAGATATGTTTAGTATAAAATATATTCCATGATAAGTGTAGAGATACTCAATATCGTAAATATTAGTACTTTTATGTATATATTTGATTAAATTTAATATCATTCCACTTTAAATAAATGAAAATCAAACTCTTTTTAAAAAACAGAGAGTAGTAGTAGCTCAGAATCTTAAAGAAAGAACTGCAGCTCACACTTCGAGAAAGATAAAATGAAAGTGAGGTGCAGGTCATGGGCATGAGCGAGAGGATACTTCTGTTCGCTTGAACTTATTCAGAATTACTTTTTAATTATAAAATAATGTTTTTTTATAATATTTTAGTATAAGTATTAAAATAAGTTAAATTTCAGCGTCCACGAACACAGTGAAGAAAGGGGGGAAAGCTGAAGCGAGCACAGGTCGCAATTATTATCGTCCTTTTGATTGATGCACAAAGTAGAAAGTACGGATCCGAGCCGCATCTGCAGTGGTCCCCACGCGCTTCATTTCTTTCTGTTTTTTCTCAAGTTGCTTTCACAGATAAGTCCCTCTGAAAACTAGTGTTTTCTTCTGTGCATGCTTGCTGCTCTCATACTCGCAACTTCGCAAGCAAGAGAAGCCTACGATAAAAGCGTACAAATTCGTGGTCATATATATCTTCTTTTAGCACACAACGAGTTTAAAGTTAGGTCCATGTTCGCTAATTTATTATGAGAGAAAAATAATATATCATAACTGATAAATCAGACTAATAAGTTCCACCTTCATTAAATCAGAATATATTCGATCTCTCGTCATTTCGTTGGTTGTGGCGAAAAAGGGTACTACGTTAGAAAATAAGCCAATGTTCCTGAAGCTTGCTTGCACGGCTGCATGACAAACAAGCCCATGGTCTTTGGTTGTCTCCGGCAACACGTTTGGATCGACTTGTCGAGACGCTTTTAAGATGTTTTATTAAATAATAGGGTATCCAAACTAGAAGCTTATCAAGCACTTAAAAAAAATACTTTCTCTGTTTCAAAATATAAGTCGCTTTGACTTTTTTGGTACATCTGTTTTGTTTATGCATCTAGATATAATATATGGCCCTGTTCGCTTATCTTATAATCCGTACTTTTTAGCTTCTTTTTTTCAACCGGAACAGTATTTTCGCTTGTTTTTTCAGCGAAACGAACAGAGCCTATATGTCTAGATACATAGCAAATCTTATGTACCAAAAAAATCAAAGTAACTTATAATTTGAAACGGAGATAGTACAACACAAAATGTGTTAAGCCCAAAGCAAAAAGGAAGGAGATTTTTTCCCACCGTCTGCTATTTCTCGTCTTCTTTCTCTCCACACGTTTGCTCACACTAAGCCAAGCTCGGTACTCTAGAAGTTCCTTTGCACAGGCTATGGCTCCAAACACCCCTCCGTCGACCTGAGCTTCCATCCACCATTGAGCTCTTCGCACGGAAATCCTCCCACCATTTGAGTGCTCCTTTAGTCAGCGGCACTTTGTGAGATCAACACTGATCTCCGCATCAGACATCATTATGAAAACTCGGCATCAATTTCCTCGGCAAACACCACACCCTCCCTCTTTGGGCGTGGCCGCGAGCTAGCCCCTCCTCTACTGCCAAATCTATCTGTAACACCCTCGGTGTTACACTGTAAATCATTTGCTCAAACATGTCATGAGCATCATGTGTATGCGTTAATGCATGTGATATAGAGTGTAGATCAAGTTCCGTGACTCAAAACAATCAACGGAAATGCATAACGAAAGTTAATTTCATAGTCACGTTATATCACTTAGAGTTTAAAACTAATTTTTATTGAGCAAAAATATTATAGAACATATGTGTGACACCTAAATAAAGTTTAAAGTACAAACTTTGTAGATGACAATGAAATACTTGCTTTTGAAAAGTAACTTTGCTAGATAATATTTCCAACACCCTAGCCGCTGTGCATGCCACTGGTCGCCTACCGGCCAGCCACTGGCTGCTGCCCCCTCCTCGACCGCCGCTGCCGCTCTACCGCGCTGCGCTGCTGCCTCTCTCGCCCCTCTTATGCAGTGGCCCCACCCAGTCGTTGATGTCGTCCCGGTGAGGGTGCTGCTCGCACGAGGCCGAGACACCCCCATGTGCACCTGTCCGCTGTCGGCCGTGTCCCGCCGAGGCGGCACAGCGCCCCTCTGCCCGGGTCTCTGCCGCTGCTACACACGCCCGCTGCACCGGCACATGGCCGTGTCGCCGTCGTCTTGCCATTAAGGCGCTGCGGCCACACAAGCCATGCCGACCTCGTACGTGCACGTGTAGCCATCCTCAGTGTGCCCTTGTCCTCTTCTATTAAGTGGCAAGCGCCACGCCGTGCTCCCCAACCGCCACCATCTTGAATGGCATCGCGCCGGCGTAACCGAGCCAAGCCAAGGCCAGCTCGCAGCGCCTGGTCCAATTCAAAGTAATTGCGCACGCCAAAAGTTTGAAAGGGAGCCTAGCTACGCGCCAAGTCCGCCCACTGCTGTAGCCATACGGTGTCGAGCTTCAATTTGAAGTTTCCCTGCCGTCGACCACCTTAAGACTGAACGACGACATCCACTAAATTAGTCTTGCACCATTGACCTCTATCCAATTCATCGTGAACCTAACTAGCTCTGGAGGTTAGCTCGCGGTCAGAGCAGACCCGCCGAGCTTTCATCCTCCAGTGAGGTACCGCGGGGCATTTTTCTCGCGGCGGTCCGCCATGGCCGCCAGAGTGGGTGCTCGGCCAGGGCATCGTTCTTTGCTCCTTTATCTCAATCGAGCAGTGCTTTGGTGTCTCCTTGACTTGGTTGCCTCTCCTGTGAAACAGTTTCACCGAGGGAGCAGTGGGTCACCAGGAACATCATCGCCGCCCTTGCCGTGAACCGGAACAACCCCGCGCACATGGCCGACCACCTTGCCGAGCCTCACGACCTTGTCCAGACCGTCTTACACGTCCCTGGTGAGGCCCTCCTGCTCCTAGGGTAGATGGTTGAATCGGTTAAGGCCTAGGCTCGCCGAAACACGTTGACGCCACTGGCAAACTCGGTGTAGATGCCGTTCCTGTGGCTGGCTCGTTTGGGAGTAGAACTGGTACATCTATGACCTCTAGCATGTTAGCAGCACCCTAAGCATGGAGGCTAGGTAGTGATGGTAGCATCAGGCTAGCCATTTTCGCCGACATTAGTGTCACTACAGCCATACCCCGCCGTGGCGCATGGCCACGCCTCTGTGTGGCACCAATCTTGGTATTTTATACCTCTATCGACTACGCTTTTGATGTAGAGTGTCACAGTGGGGATGGTTGATGCCGAGGAGGTCCATGCTCATCGACGTTTGGCCAGAGATGCCACGGCCTCTAATAAGATCCGGCCAGGGACCTTGAGACAGAAATTCGAAGTAAAGCCAGGGTGTTAAGTGAGAGCGTCAGAGAGAGTGAAATAGTAGGAAGGACTGTAGGTCAGTTTAATTGAAAACCGAGGGCTCTTTTGCATAAGCGCCAACGTGTGCGGG